TCTGGCTCACCTGAACATCGGATTTGTGCTGAAGACAAAAGGAATGGCTAAAGGTAAGGGTACACCCCAGCTCCCAGGCTGGCTGCAGCTGAAGCCCTCACACAAGTTACCTTAAAACAAAATAAAACCAACACGACTCAGTTGATCCGGTCTCCAACAAGGCGGTCCCTGCGCCACCTGTCCCATTCCCAGGTCAGGGATCCCTGAAGGAGCTTTAGGATCCAGTCCTGATGTCCGACATGGTGCTTTATGACAGAACTGGGACCAGAAGTTTCCCTACGGCAGCCCTCAAATTCCAGTTCTGGCCTGCTTAGGTTCCAGTGTCCTCTGGTCTTCAGAATCATAAACCACTTTCTCCAACCTCCCACAGTCCTGAACTTAGCTGAGAGCAGGGCAGTAGAACCCCCCAAAACACAAAAACTAAACACTCCTCAAGTGCTGAGAGCAGAGCAAGACTTCTGTCACTAGAACAAATCCTGTCGATTGAAACGCTGTAATGCCTTTCGGAAAAGGTTCCTTTATCAATCATATGCGTCAGTAAATGTAGAAAATGACGAGACAAGCCTAAAAGTGACCGTGCACCCGGGACGTCTCCCCACGTTCACAGACCGGCTGTTTCAGGGAACACTTAGTAAGGCAACCTCTGAAAGTCTGTTTTGGGGAGAGTCAGTTTCTATTGCTCTTCACGTCTGCCCCTCTTGGTCTGCTGTTCTTACGGTTGCTCTTGGGAGGGTCACATAACCAGCTACGTTTCTCACTGCAAAGAGCAAAGTGGGGAGGCTCCTAGATAGAGTAAGACTCTCATAAACTGCCGTCGATGACTAATCTGTGGGCATTGGTGGGCAGCCTCCCTTAGCCTGGGCTGAAGGGGAAGCAGAATATGCCACTTCAGGACTGCAAAAGCCCACATCCCCCCACCTCTCACTAGGAATCTGAACCACACTGAGTCAAAAAACTGTAACAAAGCACCCATAACTAAAGTGTAAATTCAAGTGATCCTTTGAAATCAGTTTCAAAAGAGTACACGTGAAACAGAGTAAACCAGTCGGAAAGAGAAACCAAAGTTACTAGAATGTTCTCTTTAACTAGAGAAGAAAAAGACCTCTCAACAGAGATTTCATTTTGTTCACATTCATAATGTTCAAACCACAACCTACTGAGTCCTACTTCTCAGCAATATGGGAAGATCTGTGTGCTATGATATCTGTAATTTTTTTCTTTAATATTCTAAAAATCAAATTCCCTTAGTGATATCTTGTCAGGAGGTGTGATTCTAGCCTGTGCTGAACAAATGTTTTTAGCTCTAAGGTGTTATAATGAAACTGAGATCTTTCCAACTACTACATTTGCAAATGTCTGTCTTAATTTCAAGAAAAACATCCATTCCAGATTATTTTCTTATTGATATTCTAAGAGCACATCTATCATTACCATGGTTGTGAGCTCATCTAAGAAATGGACAAATATCATTTAGAAACAGACTAGAATCAAGTCACATGAAGAGAAGAATGCTTCATGATAGTTCAGACGCTACTAGGAAATCAAAGAAAAATCCATGTTTTTGATTACTCACCCTAAACTGTGCTGAAACTGAACATTTGCAACCCAAGTAACCCAAGATATATTGAAGAAAACTATAACTTACTACATATTGAGTTCATTTCAATCACAGTAGTCTATTTTAAAAACAAACTCCCATAAGGAATACAGGAATGGAATCCATTCAAAGCAACAGCTGTCAAAAGTTCTGCCAAGAAACTCAGGGTAATTTACTGCATCATGAAAGATGAGGTGTTCTGAAGAACAGATACTTCAATCATATTCTTTCTCTTCAGATTTTAGTTTTTGCTTCAATCCAAGAGAATTATCTAGATCTAAAGCTCACTAAGACCTGTTTTCATATTTTAAGACTGATAAATTAAGTAAATAAAATTCAACATGGTACACAGAAAAAACCCTTCTAATCTATTTTTAGTAATGCTAGTGGCGAGAGGACTCAACTGAGAATCCATAAAATCCCAACTCTGCCACCAGCTCCCTCCTTCTATGGATTCTTGGACTAGGAACTGTGGTTTCTTAGGGCCTTGGTCTCCCCACAAGTAAATGCAGGATATGGGAAGGGGTCCTCTCATCTCTGACATCCTACTGTGCAATGAGAAGAAAATGGGCACAGCTCCCAGCTAAGCTGCCTCCTTCTCCCAACCAGACCCAAAGCACTTCTCTAATATTTATAAAGCAGTCAGATCCCTCCAACTAAGGCAAATGTCTGCCTTGATTCCAACACACTCCCCAATTCCAGAAATCTACCTTTTGGGTTTGCTTCATGGCTGCTGGATAGGGATGTGGCCAAAGCAATAAGCCACATACCAGAGACACTGAGGTACCCAATAAGCTGGTGATGTACTCCTACCGTGTTTTCACCCTTGGGACTATGGGACTCCCATGGAGGAAGACCACTTAAAAATAAGGTTATTAAACCCCCGTGGATGGGGGCAACATCAACATTCTGCCCAGAGACTTCTGCCCAACAAGGTCTTACGCTTGAGTAGTTTTACAGAAGAGGTATAATGGTGATATCAATAACCCAGCCTTCCTATAAATCATATTAAAGGCTCACAGAAACATTATCAGGAGTTATAATCCTAAATTAAACTATACATCCTACGAAAATAGAGAAAGAGAGGATGTGCGCTAGTTAGGTAATATCATGTTCTATGTGTGTGGGGGGGTGTAATTGTTTTTTTAAAAATCCACTTCTAGGCAACTAAGAAACTGTGGTCACTCTTAAGTCCAGTCAAGAAGGTGGGGTGGAGATATTATTGGTGTGGGCTTTAATGCAATGCCTATGTTAAATTACTGGTTAGACTGTGCAATGCATGAGGCTTCGATTGTCCAATGCAAGTTTTTTCCTTTAATGAAATCCAAGCAAACTAAACAAAACCCCAACCTCTGAATTTGGCTCATTCTGGCCTTGGCTTGATGGGAGAAAAACATGTCAATATTTTAAAAATGCATAACATAGACTAACATTCTTTAGTTTATATGTCTGCTTAATGGATATGAAGTGCTATCTGGAGTGTGTGCATATGTCCTGGAAGACTATGAGATGAAGTGCATATGCTAGTCTTTCCTGGATTGAATGGAACAAAAGGCAAACATGATAATGAAACGTCTGTGACAAGGACACTGTTGATAAAGTGTGTTGCAGCCCCCAGATCTCAGAACAAGTGAAAAGAGGTTACCTAAAAAATGTGCACTCACCCATTCATAATCTTAAGAAGGGTTTAAACTGACGCTGAAGCCCTCCCACAGGGACAAAAAAAGGCAGCCAAAAGGGAAGGAAAGGGGGACTAGAGAAATAGTTCAAGTCCTGTGATTTTCAAAGTCCAAGCAATTCAGAATCCTTTAATATGCACAGAACAGAATCAACAATTTGGGTTTTTTTGGAAAAACGTCATCGTTTGAGCGTTTCTCTTCTGCCATTAAGCTATTGATAAAGCTTAATGGAGTAAGAAAGCATTAAAACAAAAGCCTACTTCTTCTAAAAGCAGTCAACTCTATTGAAATCAAAGGCTTAGTCCTGCTTACCGCAAACCTATCCTAAACCACTTCAGAAAGGACCCTAGCACACCCCACCCCGCTATCCTAAGAATCGGTAAATTAGCAAAATGCACAAGAGACCGCATGTCTTGCCATCCGTCTCCTGAAGTGATGTTAAAGCTGGCGAGGCCGGATACCTGGGAGGGTCGATCAATTCCCACTTTCAACTTGAGCTTACAGGAGAAGCATAGGCTATGTAAATTTCTTTAGAGTACTGGCTCCTGCAATTTGAGCTTACTGTTTTACATCACTCACACTGGAGTCGGTTGGGCGCCTCTGAACTGCACATAAACCAATCCCTTCCCAAGGGTACACTTCACAGAGAACAAAATAGTCATATATCCAGTGTGAGGATCAGCTTTCTTTCATTATTTCTTCATACCCAATACACTTACGATCCGGGTTAAAATAACAAAGACAAAAATAACTACCAGAGATTGTTGCATTACTGGTAACAACCATTGCCCCTTCTTCCCTAGTTTGAATACCTGGGTTCAAACAACAAATATTTATCAGTCCAAACAGTCTCATCAGCCGTTCACATTTCATGGGTGGTTTCCGAATTCATGCATTTACAGATATGTTAACCCGCAGGATAAAAGCAGAGATCTGGCAACTATTTATTTAATTTGATCGGGCAAGGCAGTTCAGGCAGATTGCTCCTGCCCAAAAATCTACATGAAAGGGCTGAGTTGTCTGGGTTGACGGCTTAGCTGGGCCAAGTTAAATAGATCATGGACAAAACTACTACTTTACAGAGGTGTAAAGACTGAATAAGTCTTTGCCATTCAATAGAAAACAATAGTCATGTATTATTTATAGCTAGATATAATATCAAGATGGCACTAGAGAAGCAATTTTTGGCATATAGTGGTGGAGGGCACAGCGCCAGTCTAAAGCTAATGCTTTTGTTTTCTTCTACTTTTTGTTTTTATTATCATCATGCCAAAGACTATCCAGTTGGAATCACAATTATTCAGGAAACCAATCTACTGTATATGATATACATATGAAAATAAAACAAGCATCCTGAAGGTACTGGATTACAAGGTTTTGTACAAGTCATAAATTCTTTAAATAAGTAATGCTCTAAATTGTTTTTATTTGCTGGAAGACTGGTTTTGGGTAAGGAGCAACATCTAACACCTTGAGGAAGTACTTAAGAATGGGAGGTAAATTCCACTGATAGTTACAATTTCAAGTGTGATAATCAGTTGTGTTTTTTTCCACCACAGTAAAACGTACACGTGAAGCACAAAAGAAAAGGTGATATGGATTATATTCCGCCGCTAAGAGCTTTTGACACAGTCTCAGACATCTATGACAAGTAGTTTCGTTGAAACATTCAAAGGAAAGATCTTGGCAGGAAAGGTCACCCACTGTTACTTGAATCTTGGGGGTCACAACACAGTGACTGGACGAAGTTGTTCCAGTTGGTTTTCCAATGCAATCCGTTCTTGATGAACCTCCTGAGTTGTACAAAACAAAGAGAAGAGAGGGGTCATTTCCTGGGTTCATCCCTACTTCATCAGATACTGAAAAGAAAGTTATGACTGGACCCACAAGCATTTAGGTGCCATATGACATGGGAGGCATCATATTTAAAGCTGGTGACTGGACACAGGAGGCTTCACAATTTGCAGTCTCTCGACTCCTTTCTTAAGATGATGAAATGAAACTGATTGACCAACCCTCCCCACCCCCCACACCTAAATCTCACCCTCAGTTTTAACAGTGGTTGGCACAGAACGATGTTAAAAATTTTTTTAAATGATTGGAAGGGAGCAGAAAAGCAAAAGCAGGCTCCTAACACTAAGAGGTGAGCCATCAGGACTACATCTCTAGTTGCAATCTCTTGTTTCCACTCCAGCACCATACTGGATCAGGACTGAGGGATGAGAAAGGGCACTGGTCGTCCTTCCACCAAAGTGTCATCCAGGTTCCTGCATAAAATATGGCTGAAGGTGTGACTTCTTGGCTAAAGGTAGAAAACAGGATCCACAATCTCCTATTTGGGAATTCAAACTCTGAGCCCTAAAACAGACCTACTGGCAGGGAGAGGCGGGGACATGTAAAGGCGCTCTGAAGTAGAATCAGTCAAGGTGGGAAGGAATTCTGTATAAAGGCTCAATTCTGGGCTTCCCTGGTGGCGCAGTGGTTGAGAGTCCGCCTGCCGATGCAGGGGACACGGGTTCGTGCCCCGGTCTGGGAAGATCACACATGCCGCGGAGCGGCTAGGCCCATGAGCCATGGCCGCTGAGCCTGCGCGTCCGGAGCCTGTGCTCCGCAACGGGAGAGGCCACAACAGTGAGAGGCCTGCGTACCACAAACAAACAAACAAACAAACAAAAAACAATAAAGGCTCAATTCTGAGACGTCCCAGAAGAAACAACATGCTAACAGTAGCGTGGAACTCAACAAACATTTATTCACTCACCCACCTACCTACCATCCAACAGTCTTTGAGTATCTATCTACTATGGGCCCGATTCTGCTCTGGGTGTGATGATACCACCAAGGAACAAGATAGATCAAACCAACGCCCTCACAGGGCTCATACTCAAATGGCTAGAGAAAGACAAGAAAGTCAGAAGAAAAAAAAAAAAAAACAAGATACTTTCAGAAGGAAATAAATAAGATGATGTAATAGAGAGTAATGTGAGGGATCTGGGAGAAAGGTGGAGAGGGTGGTCTGGGAAGGCTTCTCAAAGCAGATGCTACTGAGCAGAGACTTGAATGAAGTGAGAGCCACATGAAGATACAGGCAAAGGATATTCAGGGAGATAAAATCGCAACCGCTAAGGCCCCAAAGGAGGGAACAAGCTTAGTGTGTTTGATGAACCAAAAGGCCTGTGTGACCAGAGCAGAGGAGACAATGAAGACCTTGGCAGGAGCTAAAGTCAAAGAGTTAGGCAGGCACCTTGTGGACAGAATAAGGGGTGTGGATGGATTCAATAAGGATTCAAAGTGTACAGCAACGAGGACTTTGAATCAGGAAAGGCATTCGGCCTAACTTAGAATTCAGAATTTTCACTCTGGCTACTACATAGACAATGGATTGTAGCAGGACAAGAGTGGAAGCAGGGAGCAGTTGGGAGGTTACTGCATGGAACCAGGTGAGAAATTAAAATGGCTTAGATCAGGTAGCAGCCATAAAGATAGAGAGAAGGAGATGGATTCTGGACATAATTTAAATATAGAACTAATAGGAGATGTCGATGAAGGTGATATAGGAAAGAAGGAAAGGAATTTGGGATTGAGCAAGTGGGCGGCTGGTAGTGTGGTATTAATTGAGAACAAGAAGATTGGATGAGAAATGGGCATTTCAACGAGAGGGTTGGGAATGAAGCATCTGAGATGTGTATCAGATATAGTAGGAGAAAAGTTGAATAAGCAGTTGTAAATACATGTCTAGAGCTTAGAAGAAAGAGAAGTAGGGCTTGAGGCATAAATTTATGAGGTTGGATGGCCTTCAAAGCCATAGGATTATATAACATCACCCAGCAAAATAATATATTGGGTTGGCCAAAAAGTTCGTTCTGTTTTTCCACGGCATCTTTCAGAAAAACCCGAACTTTTTGGCCAACCCAATAGATGGAGGCTGCAGGTAAAGACAGAACTTAACATATGTACCAAACTCATTCCCTACTGCAACTCTACTAAAACAATTTTTTTAACTGGGGGGTGTGTGTGTGCATGGTCATAGACATACAAGGACAGGGAAGACAAAAGGGAAGAGGTGATAACAATAAAATTGGTAAGCTGGAAGGCAAACTGATGAATGCTGAATGAATTAGCAAATCCAAGAAAAATAAATGTGGGGGATTCTCCTAGGTGCTGAATACGTCTCTTCCAGTTACACATCATGGAACTGGAGAAAATAACCACAGGGTGGATTCGGGGATAAAATGAACCCACTGTGACAAGGACCTGAGCTACAACTCCACTGATCACCTGACCTCCATAAGCTCCTACTCTAACTGGTGGATCATAGTGATGTTTTGGGTCTCCTGGAATAAGTATCAGTTCAGAGCCTGTGTCCAGTAATCCCCCCTAAATCTGATAAGCTCCTTTTCCCCAGGGCACAGTCACACACTTTGGGAAGGGCTGGGAGAAAGATTAACAATATAAACTTTTGGCTGCAGAGTACGGTCCTTCCTAAAGGTGACTCAGAGGCCCCTTTATTCAAGGGTTCTGTATCTGTAAACTGACTTAGTCTGGGAACTGACTGAGAAGCCATGACTAGAGCTCTGCTTGATGATTCTTCAGACTTCTGTTCACTAGACCTAGAACTTCTTCACTTCTACAGATCAAGTAAAGAAAAGTGAACTGCAAGCTAAGCATGGGGATAAAACGAGAACCAATCCGATTTCACACAGAAGAATCCCTGAAGGACTCAAATTGGCAGCACCAGAGACCTATGAAAGTGGGAGTGAAAGAGGGGAGGACAACTGGCTTAGATAAGTTTTGCTTGGAAGTCTGCTTCAGAAGTAATTAGATCCCTGAATCCTTCCTGCCACTATGGTAGAGCACTGAAGGTTTATTTCTTTGAAAGGTAAAACAGATGGCCTCTGGATTAGCAATACAGGGATACAATCAAGGACTAGAAATTGGACTGGAAGTGGGATTAAATGAGTGCCCTGAACGCTGAGAACCAGAGCCCTCTCCTCCACTGAACCAGGTCTTCCCTCCAGGCAGGAGACCCCAAGAGTCGCCTCCCTGAGGACTCCAACCAGACCAAGAGGAAACAGCAAATGACACTGTCTTTGGGGGTTCCCCAACTCTATAGCTCAGCCAAACTGGGGGAGAATGAAGCTCAAAGTTGACAAGCCCCACAGCAGGCTATGAACTTGCAATATGCATTCTCATCCTCCTCCTAAGTATAAGCAGAGAAGGACCATCAGCTATGGAAGGGAAGTATCTAATTAGAAGTGTATACAACAACAAAAAAAGCAAGTATTGAGGAAGAAGAAAAACTACCATTAAGAGAAGATATTACAACACTGAAACAAGAATAGGATGCCATTGAAAAGAATCAGAGAACAACAAAAATGAACTCTTGGTTATTAAACACAGGAGATAATAGAGTTTAAAAAATAAGTATGTCTCCACATATAGACAAAAGAAAGAAGAGAAAAGAAAGAAACTAGAAAAGAAAAATTAGAAAACCAAACTAAGAAGTCCAGTGTCTGAAAACTTTCAGGAAGGGAGAACAGAGAAAATGGGGGAAGGGAGGTCAATAAAATTCAAGAAAACTCCCAGAACTGAGGAATATGGGCTTCCAATTAAAAGGGCCTACCAAATATAGAGACCAATGGATAATAGTGACCTACGCCAAAGCAAAGGTAGGGGCAGGGGGAGGCAAAAGCAAAATGCAAAACAAAAACGAGGTCACATACAAAGATCCATAAAACAGAATGAAGTGTGACATTCTACAAATTCTTTTTATTACCATATGGTAAAACTGACTTCTTTTCTTTTATTGTACAGTTCTACAAATGTTAACACATATAGATTTGTGAAACCACCACCACAAAGAGGGTACAATACAGTTCCAACAACCAAAAAGCTCCCTGGAACTACTCACTGATATACAAACCTTCACCTCATGTATAACCCTTGACAACCAGTGGTCTGTTTTCCAGCACTATAGTTTTGCCTTTTCAAGAATGTCAAATAAAAGGAATCATGCAGTACATAACCCTTTGACACTGGCTTGTCTCACGTAGCATAACACCTTTCCGTTTCATTCAAATTGCTGCGTGTATCATTCCTTTTGCCTGATGAGTACTATTTCACCATACTCCATTTATCCATTCATCCTTTGAAGGACATTTGAGGTTTTTTTCATGTTTCCACTATCATATAAAACTGCTATGAACATTTGTGTACAGGTTTTTGAGTGAACATAAATTTTTCATTTCACTAAGGTAGATACCCAGGAGTGGAACTGCTGGGTCACAAGGTTAAATGTATATATAACTTCATAAGAAAATGCCAAATAGTTACTCAGAGTGGGGTATCAATTGGCATTCTCACCACCAATTCACGAGGGTTCCAGTTGCCAGCACATGATGCTGTCACGATTTCCTGTTTTAGCAATTCTATCACTGTGTATACTGGTCTGTGATCATGGTTTCAATTTGCATATGCCTAATGGCTAACAATGCTGAATATCTTCTCACATGTTTACTTGCCATCCTTATATCCTCTTTGGTGAAGTGTCTGTTCACGTCCTTTGCCCATTTTTAAATTGAGTTGGTTGAGCTTTGAGAGTTCTTATTACTGAGTTCTTTATATAATCTGGACACTAGTCCTTTGTCAAATACATGGGTTGCAAATATTTTCTCCTAGTCTGTAGCTTGTCTCTTAATTCTCTTGACAGTGTTTTTGGCAGAGTAAAAGTTTTAATTTTGATAAAGTCCAATTTATTGATTTTTTTTGTTATAGACTGTGCTTTTGGCACCAT